CTCTAAGGTGCCACAAGTACTCCTGTTCTTTTTGAGGATACAGACTAACACGGCTGCTACCCTGAAACTTTACAGATCTGAAATACCCTTCTCTCTCCGTTTTAGAAGATCATTGTTTTAAAAATGCAATTAATGGCAAAGTGTCCCAAACCAACTTTTTAACTCTTAGGCTAGGTCTACACTACCCGCCTGAATCGGCGGGTAGAAATCGACCTCTCGGGGATCGATTTATCGCGTCCCGATCCCCGAATTGACACTCTTACTCCACCAGCAGAGGTGGGAGTAAGCGCCGTCGACGGGAAGCCGCAGAGGTCGATTTTGCCGCCGTCCCTACAGCGGGATAAGTCGGCTGCGATACGTCGAATTCAGCTACGCTATTCGCGTAGCTGAATTTGCGTATCTTAAATTGACCCCCCCCCCCCGTAGTGAAGACCTGCCCTTAGAGCATAAAAGTAGCCTATTTTAAAAAATTGCAAAAATATTCTCACTGGAAACCTTTGGCTATGTCTACACTAGATTCTTTTCCCTAAAATTTCCCATCATGCAGCTCTAGTGCTAGCAACAGGGGAGTGGGAGGCTAGACAAGGTGCTAGTATTTGAACCACAATGTTTTCTAACCCTCCTCAGAACAGATCTAGGTGACACTGTAGTACAAATGCTGGCAGCTGCTGGGGCACCTTATCTGCACTACAGCTTCCATCATTGATAACACGGCAATGATGGGAAGCTTTAAGGAAAAAAAAACCAGCGTAGACAAGACCTTTGATTGTCATGGTTCAAGCCCATAAGTATATTTTTACAGCGGAGTTACACATTCCTGTAAAATTCATTTATCATCAATGTATGAATTAACCCTGCCCAGATGCACAAGATATTTTGCAGACCTTTGTGCTATAAAAGGGAACTTTTCCCCTGCTGCTGAATAGAGCCCATAGATGGAGGTGTATGTGGCCTCTTAAGAATGTCAGATAATTCAAACTATCAAAAGCCTAAACCCTTCAGCATGTGCGTGTGCACACACACAAATCAATAACCGTAAACATTGTTTGGTTATTTTTACAATTTAAAAGGTCATTAATATTGTAAATTAAATAATGACAACAAATCTCTGTCATTCCTGTTGCTTTCAGTCATTCAATGAAATCACGATGAGCAGCTGTTGCAGCAACAATAGGCATCTGTCTTTTTCTCAGCTGTGTCCTTGTACTGGTAGCTCCTACACTGTAGGTATATTACTTTCAGCTAGCACGGTGGGAAGCTCCTGGAGCACAAGGCTTTGCAATCCTCACTAGCAGGACACTAGCTGTTGGATTTGTAAAATTAGCATACATTGGCCAACTTTTTTCGTGTAATTCCACTCTCACCTATAAAATCATTATTCTTTTACTGTTTATCATTTGAGTTTTCCCATGAAAATGCTCTGCCAGAGTTATTTTTGCAACTATACAAACACGTATATTCAAGGGCGAATCACACACACACACTCTCTCTCTCTCTCTCTCTCTCTCAAGGGAGAATCATTAATACAAATGCATAGCAAAACAGTTTACTGAAGTATTCACTTGGCAGTAGAATCAATGAAGAAAAGTCTCTTTTCCAGAGCTGGACACAGCTGCTCACCAGCAGGCAGGAAGAGGGAAACCAGTTATGAAAATGGTAACAAAAGAAAAAAGATAAAATCTGCGAAGATGAGAATAAGCACCCTTATTTGGGGAGATTAGGCTGGGTCTACACTCCGATATTTTCTTCAGAATTCTCACCAATGTACTACTTCCTATTGGTGCAGCTCAACTGGCAGTAGCAATGGTGGGATTGTGCATATACTTGGGGCTCTGATGTTTATTCCCTGTCCCATCTATCTCTGTTCAGAAGTTGGGGCCTGTCCACGTTAAAGCTCCCATTGCTACCACTGGAAGAGCTGCACCTGCAGTGGTGCAAATTTTGCAGAAAATAAAGTGTGCATGAAATCCAGCTGCAATGAGAACTGAAGGATGCAGTGTTGATTCGGGGAAAGGGGAGGGTAAACTGAGAGGTGTTGAGTGTCCAGACAGTCTGAAAGCAGGTAAGAGGAAATGACTCAGAGAGCAAATCAGCATTTACTGGTGTTTATAAAGGAGGTGCAGGAAAAAGAATAACGTCACTAGGTCAGTGTGAAATATTTTCAGTGCAAAGAATTCCTGTTTGGCAGGAGGTAGAATGACATGTCTGGGACATTCTGAAGACCAGTAATGGACCCACACTGGACCCTGGTAGCTACCTTGTCTGGGTAGCCTGTGAAGATAGGCAGATTATTACACCCATGCACTAATCTCTCACAGCACACGCTGGGCTGGGACATTGGGCACCATGGCAGTGTTTTCTTAGGCGTGGTGCTATGACTGGCTTGGGGAGGAGGGTGAAATACCTTGGCATTATGGCAGTGGTTCCCCAACTTTAACAACCTGTGAACCCCTTTCACCAAAATGTCAAGTCTCACGAACCCCCTCCTAAAAATGAATATTTCCAGGGATTTTCTCCTTTATCTGAGTATAAATTATAAAAGCAGTGATCTTGGAAATATAAAATTTGTTTTTATGACATGCTTATTACACACTATTTATTATTCATTATTATTTATCATTACAGTATTTTTATTACATTATGAAAACGGCAACACTGTTCCAAGATCTCACTTTCGTAGCTTGTATCACTTTGAATAAGCCTGTTATAAGATAAGGCTCCTATGTTTCATCGAGGAGTATCAGATGTGAAAATAGCATGAAGGTATGTAAGAAGCCAATACAAAGAGTTCCTCTTATACAAGCAAAAAGAAGAACAGGAGTACTTGTGGCACCTTAGAGACTAACAAATTTATTAGAGCATAAGCTTTCGTGGACTACAGCCCACTTCTTCGGATGCACACAAGTACCACAAGTACTCCTGTTCTTCCTTTTGCGGATACAGACTAACACGGCTGCTACTCTGAAACCTGTCTTATACAAGCATTCAGGTCTTGAGCAGTTCAAGCAAACAACGCATGTTACAACAAAGCTTAAACTTGTTCTTCATAATACTTTTAAAAACAATACTAGCTGCCTATTTAATTTTAAAAACAGCAAAAAAATATCAACCTCCCTTTCCATTTCTTATAAGGAGTCTTGAAGTTTAAATCTCCTCAGTGTGATAGATGTGCTTACTTTGATCTGCTTAGCTCTTGGAAGTCCTGGGGCTCCAGGCTGCTGGTCCCCTGCTCCCTAAGGACAGCTCTGTCCGCCATTAGGGAATTTTTCCCCGAGAACCCCCTGTAACATTTCGAGAACCCCAGTTTGGGAACCACTGCATTGTGGGGATGCTGCTTCTTTGGGAAGGGAGATCTGGCTGCAGCAAGCACTGGGTGATGTCCCGCGGCTGCTCCCCCTAGCGACGACCAGGGGAAAGTGGCGTTGCCGCGCGCTGATGCAATCGGAACCCCCAAGCAGCAGCAGCAGGAGCAGGGAGAATATCAGTTCCTTCTCACAGCTGCAACGTGTCCCAGCAGGGAGGCGTTGCACAGGGAGAGACAGATAGTCCGTAGGCGCTTCATCCTGCTCGCTGGCCGAAGGGAGCGGGGCCGCGGAGAAAGCTCTTCCTGCCTCATCTGGCAATTACTGCTCTTGTACTAGCATGATGAAGGTAATTGGAGTCAATTGTGCTGCAGCATGGGTGCCCGTCCATTGTGGGATGCACAGTGGCAATAAAACAGCATTTCATTTATTGTTGCTCTGATTTGGCTTTGGTGCCTTGCAAGGGAGGCTCTGTCCTCGCTAGTTGATTGTTTCTGATTCAGAGGCAGGATGTGCGTGACTCTCTCGTCTCCTTTTTTAATGGTTGAATTGCAGGCGGCATTTGAGAAAAATAATAGGGGGGGGGAGGAGGAGGAAAAACCTTTCAATCTAACATTGCATGGGAGAATTATTTGTTACCGGCGCGGGTTTATTTCTAACATGGGTCTCTTAAGGGGTTAAAAAAACAGAAGGGAAAAAAATCTGCGAAGGGTATAGTCTGCTGACAGGCGACATGGATTTAAAGTGCCCGGGAGTTTATTATAGCTCTTAGCTGTGCAGTCATGCTAGACCTGAATCTGGGTAACAGGCAGCAGAATGTAGCGTGGTTTAGTGTAAATGGAAAATGTAACGTTTTCACGGGTTAAAATTTAATGTGAGATGTTGCATTATTTTTGAAACCAGTCTTGTATAGTCGCAGTTTGGTCTCTACTTCCTTTAAGTTATACAGTCTGTGTGTGTGTGTGTGTGTGTGTGTGCTATCCCCTGGGATGTGGGGAGAGACGCCTTGTTCTTCCAAAAGGATTTCGTGCTGTTGCTGCTTTTTTAACTTCTCCACTGGTAACTTTACAGTGCCTGGAACAGCTGCACCATGTGAAGGTCTGGGGTCTTGAAGAAGGTTCTGTACAAAGCTGACTTTGAACTGACCACTGTTTGTCCTGAATTTGCACTTCGGCTTGTACATAGTTGCTCCACTTAAATGATTCTGCTAGATGAGATGAGAGCTTATTCCACCCAGGGGAGGAAGGGGAAACATCAGTAGACTTCACTCGTGCTGCTCTCCCCTGCCGATTGTCGTGTTGCCCTTTTCTCATCCTTGGATCTTGTCTACGTTGAACATTTTCTGAAATTTCCTTGCTGTTGCCTTAGCAATGGTGCAGCTGCACAGATGCTGTCAGTAATGGAAACACTAGTAGATAAGTGTTTTATCACCACCCCACCTCATCTGTGCTCCATGTACATGAGGATTCCCACAACTGCTAGCATCAGTGCAGTTGAGACAGGATTAGACCAGTGATGGGAGAAGTTCTGAAAATGCTCCTAGTAGCCCACTTCGTGGCTTCTCCGTTTCAGTATGCTGTGAGCTAGGGGTGTAGGCCCTGGGGAGCGGGTTACAACCTTGCATTGCTGCTGTTCATAGAATAGAATATCAGGGTTGGAAGGGACCTCAGGAGGTCATCTAGTCCAACCCCCTGCTCAAAGCAGGACCAATCCCCAACTAAATCATCCTAGCCAGGGCTTTGTCAAGCTGGGGCTTAAAAACCTCTAAGGAAGGAGGTTCCACCACCTCCCTAGGTAACCCATTCCAGTGTTTCATCACCCTCCTAGTGAAAAAGTTTTTCCTAATATCCAACCTAAACCTCCCCCACTGCAACTTGAGACAATTAGTCCTTGTTCTGTCATCTGGTACCACTGAGAACAGTCTAGATCCATCCTCTTTGGAACCCCCTTTCAGGTAGTTGAAAGCAGCTATCAAATCCCCCCTCATTCTTCTCTTCTGCAGACAATCCCAGTTCTTTCAGCCTCTCCTCATAAGTCATGTGCTCCAGGCCCCTAATCATATTTGTTGCCCTCTGCTGGACTCTTTCCAATTTTTCCGCATCCTTCTTCTAGTGTGGGGCCCAAAACTGGACACAGTACTCCAGATGAGGCCTCACCAATGTTGAATAGAGGGGAATGATCACGTCCCTTGATCTGCTGGCAATGCCCCTACTTATACAGCCCAAAATGCTGTTAGCCTTCTTGGCAACAAGGGCACACTGTTGACTCATATCCAGCTTCTCGTCCACTGTAACCCCTTGGTCCCTTTCTGCAGAACTGCTTCCTAGCCATTCGGACCCTAGTCTGTAGCTGTGCATGGGATTCTTCTGTCCTAAGTGCAGGACTCTGCACATGTCCTTGTTGAACCTCATCAGATTTTTTTTTTGGCCCAATCCTCTAATTTGTCTAGGTCCCTCTGTATCCTATCCCTATCCTCCAGCGTATCTACCACTCCTCCCAGTATAGTGTCATCTGCAAACTTGCTGAGGGTGCAGTCCACACCATCCTCCAGATCATTAATGAAGATACTGAACAAAACCGGCCCCAGGACTGACCTTGGGGCACTCCGCTTGAAACCGGCTGCCAACTAGACCTAGACCAATTGATCACTACCTGTTGAGCCCGACGATCTAGCCAGCTTTCTATCCACCATATAGTGTTTTTGCTGTACCGGTTGCATGACTGACCAGAGCAGTGGACTTCAATCTCCAGGACTGTTATCCAGCACCTTACAGCAGTACTAACCATGCACGTACAAAAAAGAAGGAAGTAAAATATGATCCATAGTACTGTGACTGATCACGACAACAGTGAGCTTGACAATGAAATTACCCTATTTCTAAGCAAAAGGATCACTCTGCTGGACTGAAGAAACATAGGGGAGTGATATATTGGGAATGATATAATGGTACTCTGATCTAGGAGACAGGAGATCTGGGTTGTACACTCTGCTACTGGCCTGCTGTGTAACTTTAGGCAAGTCACTTCACTTCTCTGTGCCTTTGTTTTCCCTTTTGTCCTTCATTTGTTTTATCTATTTAGACTGTAAACTCTTGAGGACAGGGACTGTCACTGTGTGTTTGTACAGTCATAGCACTCATCACAATGGGATCCCAATCACAGTTTGGGCCTCTAGGCATAACTGTAGTACAAATAAAACTATGAAGGTATCTGTCAGTAATATATCATTTCACTTTCCTGTCCCTTGAGGTTTCTCCTCTTCACTATTTCCTGCTTTAAATCCCTGCTACTTCAATAAAGACACATTATCCCTCAACCCTTTTCCAGTTCTCTTCCTGTCTCTGAGCCCTCTTTACAGAAATATTGTGTAAGAACTGAATTTACCTCTGGTTTCTCTAGTTCTCCCTTGTCCCTCTGTGGCAACTGATTTCAGCTGACAGGCCTAGCATTTGCATCATCTTGTGAGGATGTGGGCGGTCTGATTTCCTTGGCACTGGGGCTGACTGCCCAAATCAGTGTTATAGAGTCACAGGAGAAACAGAAGGAACCAAAAAAGAGGTTAGCTTGCACACAGCTTATATTTTTCAATGGGCCATATTCATCCCTGGTATAACTCCATGGAATTATTCCCCTGCAGTTACACCAGGAATGAATTTCTCCTTTACAGTGATCAGTAAATACACAGGAGTCAGGATTGTCAGGAAAAGAGACACATCACATTTTATTAAGGGCATGAGCACTCAGCCTTGACAGTCTATTCAGGCCTTTTGAAACAATGCATCCACACTAGGCAGGCTAAAGATTCAGCATATGTATTAGCATAGTTGCTCCCATACTAACATTATGTCATTTTATTTGTATCTGTAAATAACTGTGGCTACATAAATAAAAACACTGTGGTCATTAGTAGGCATCGAAACCAGGACTTTTAGCAAAAAAATTGTGAGGTCTGTTTGCTGTGAGAAAATAGTGGACTTTATTCTCGCTAGCCCCAACCAGCAGGGATGACATGATCATAGTCACTATACCAAATGAGTTATATCTTCCACCTTGTTGGACAAGCTAGTCAAAGGCTTTGAGAGCCAGAGAAGTTCAAGTCCTGTCCAGAGTACTAGTCTGTAACAAAGTGTAGCTACTGACTGAGAGCCCTGGTGACTGTAATGTGGAGATTGAACTCCTGGCCTCAGCACTGAAAGCATAAACTCCCATGACAGCTTGAGCACATGTTGAGGGAGTATATGGCCATAACTTATCATACAGTCACCCATTCTGGTAACTTGATTACCTTACAACTACAGGAATGCCTGGCCCCACTTTCCTTAGAAATGGTTCCGTTGGCTCATAGCTTATACTTTAAGGAACCAGATTATTACCTCATAAAACAGAGCACCTGTCATCATAAACCTTTATTATACTAGAGGTGAGATTAACTCTGGTCCATCAGGAGTCTAGCAAATATTACCATATGTTACTGACAGTGAAAATCCAGTTGTTTGCTTGTCTAAAGGTCCAGCGATTCCTTCTCTTGTGCAAACCATAAGAGCCAAATAAAATAACATGAAGTTCCAATTAAAACTGTTGTTAAAAGTAATCAAAAGCTTTAACCCATCTGTCTTCCATGATACACCCATTTTGGCACATAGGTTATTATTGTTTTACGGACCAGAGTTATTCATTTACTTACCTTCCCTTTTGAAGTTCACCGTTCATGCCCAAGTTACATTTTTAGGATATATATATATATAGAGAGAGAGAGAGAGAAGAAAAGAACTATATAGTATGAGTACTTAACTATGTGTAAGTTGTACTTAACTAGTACAACTTACCTACCTGAGTGTTTCATGAATTTAACAACAATGCTCATGCTGATTGTAAGACTAGAATATTGATTTTTTTGTTGGTGCTTCTTGGTGCCAGAAGTGGTCAGGGTGGGAGGAGGAGGAGGAGACAACGAGCCGGGACAGACGTAGAATCTTGCAGGAGCAGCAGCAGACTCTACTATGCCTCCTCAAGGTCACTAAGTCCATGAGAGTTTAGCAGCGCAGGGTTTTCCCTTTGTTTTCTCTTGTTCAGACCCAGCAGACCCAGTCCTCAGGGTCTCCCTTACCTCCCCAAACAGTGCTAGCACTTGCATTTACCCTTTCTGTGAGCCAGAATCTGAACGCTTTCACATTATCTAATTTTGGGGAATTGCTCTTAATACTATTTCACTTCAGTTCCTTGTAGCAGCTGTGATTACTACACTCATTCTGCAGCTGGGAAGATGGGCAGCCTTCCAGAGTGCAGCCCTGCTCCACAATCAGCTAGCAGAGTGCAGTAGTACACGGTATGCTATTCATCCTGGAGCCTGAAAACAAGACTCTCAGATGAGGAGCTAGAGGTCCAAGGTTTCTTTTTCTGAGCCCTCGTCTTGCACACAATAGTACAGATTGGTGTTTGCTTGGGCAGAGGTTCTGTTGTGTTCACACTGCTGATGGTCTTGCTCATGGTTGTCCTTAAGATGAGCACAAAAGACAGAGACTTCTGTGTGGAAGATGCTGATGGACTGAACAAGTTGGAGAACTGCTGTACAAAGCCATCAGTAATACTTCCATCCTGAGGAACTTTGAAGAGCTTTACAAACAGTAGTAGTTAAATCAACCCTGTAATGTAGGTAGGTGGTTTCTTTAGAAAGCTACCTAAAGATACTGAATAGATATGTCTTCTGAGACGTGAAGTCTTTGTAATAATTCTACAGAGGCATAGTCATTTTGTTGACACCCAATTGCTTTTTATGAGTTGAATCATTTAATTAACTCCTTAAAACCCATAGCGAGACTCATCAGTATTCCGAAGCTATACCAGGCGACAGTGCCTTCCCCACTCATTTCCAGAGCCTCTGCCAGACAGGCAGCAATGAGAAGGGGAAGGCATTAAACCCTGAATTTCCTGCCTCCCCCTGGCATGGGGCAGCCGAGCTACTGCCTCCTCCTCTGATCTGGCAGCAGCAGAGTCTACTCCCTCCCAGCTGGCTGTCTTCTCCTCATCCCATCCTGACCACCGCTGGCACCAAGGAACATTACACACCCATCTACCCCACTCCGAGGTATGTGGAAAAGGAGGAGGGAAACAAAAAACTCAGAGGATGTGAGGGCCAGAATGGCACAGGGGAGATGATGGTCTATGGGATCAAAAAAAGCAAACAATTTAAAGAATGGGCTCAAGAATAATACTAAAAATGTAATAATGCCATTATATAAACCAGTGGTTCAGCTTCTCTGGGGATACTGTGTGTTCTGTGGTGGCCACCCTATCTGAAAAGGGGTCTAGTAGAAATTGAGGAGGTTCTGAGATTGGCAGTGGGAGTGATCAGAAGCATGCAAATACTTCCATATGAAGAGAGATTGAAAGGATGCTGACCGTTTACCTCACAGAGGAGGGGAAACAGAGGGGACCTGACCAAGGCGTACAGAAGAATTTAATGAGGTTCATAGTGGGATGTGGATAACAAGATTGTCCAGAGTTGTTATAGTAAATTAAAAAAAAAATTGAGGACTTGGAGCCCTTCCAATCTTCAGGGTTTAAGTCTGTGCTGTAAGCAATGTTAGAGTCTGAGCTAGGAAACACTCATTCTTGGACATGCTGCTTATTTCTATGGGTTAATCCCATTGACTGGGGGAAGTTTTCAGAGGCACAAAGGATGGTTGGATGTTTCAAAGTCTATAGGAGCTGGGCACCATTGTGTCTTTGAAAATCTCCTTCCTTTGATAGCAGCGTCTGCAGGGTCATGGCCTTAGCACATGCATGCTTGTGCACAGAAATATCAGGGCTTGTCAAAGTGTGATCCTTGGTCAATCCTGGCTCTGTCTCATTCTAGATGTGTGAAGAATAGGAAATCAAGTCGGATTTAAGCTTTCAAAGTGTTGTTTTACCAGCTCCATTGCTATGTGAGTTAATTTCCCTCCCCTATCTCTTCTGAAGGCTAGTATGTTACTGTGGTCCTCCAAAAGATAGGCTTTTGCTGTGCCATAGCACTTCTAGAGGTTGATTTTATTATTATTTATTTATTATTATATAAAAATCAACAATTTCTCATTGAGTTTGAAATTGTTCCACAACGACTCCAAGATCTCTTTCTTGAGTGGTAACAGCTAATTTAGAGCCCATCATTTTATATGTATAGTTGGGATTATGTTTTCCAATGTGCATTACTCTGCATTTACTTTGTTCTTGGTGTTTTTTTTAATGGCACTTTGCCTGGAAGAAATGCCACACTTTTAATTTGTAACTGTTTTTCAGAGGACAGTGACTGATACCATTTTCACTTCTGCAATTCTCAATGGTTAGTTATTAAATTTACTAAAGTGTATAAGATTTCTGTCTTTCTCTGATATGTGAGAAGTAAAATGTTGGCACAGTGTTACGCTCAGTATTTAAATAATTGTAGACACTGATTTCTATTTGCATCACCTTGTGGACTTTATAGTATGTATTAGCATAAATTTAATAATTTAAGTATAAAGGAGATTCATATAATTAACAAGTAGCACATGTAAAAACTAGCATAACTTAACTTAAAACTCTTAAATATCTATCATGGGGTTTATGCGGCTGCCAATCACCATAGTATCTGAGCACCTTCCATCAATAAAGCCATGTGTCAAAGTAAAGATTCTCCCCACAACTGTAACTCGGACCCCGTGCACATACAAATATGCAACTGGTGTATTTACCTGCAGCAATCATATTCATCATGATACATGCTTAACCGTGTTTGGTAACTGAAACGGGAATTCAGGAGACAGAAGAAAGAAGCGACAAAGAGTCCTGTGGCACTTTATAGACTAACAGATGTAATGGAGCATAAGCTTTTGTGGGTGAATACCCACTTTGGGCATCTGACGAAGTTTTCCGTGCAGTATGTCTCTATCTCCAATACCCTTTTCTGCAGAAAAGGGGCTTCAGCTCCTCTTATCCTTCAAGATAGGAGCTAACTGGACATAATTTAAAGCTACCCTTGTAAACACCGTGAGATGCACCAAGAGGATGTAACTCAGGCTTCATCAAAACTGAGGAAATTCTCCCTCTAAATTCAAACCAACTACACCAGTTTTAAAACATGCTGGAGCAGCAGTGTAGACAAGATTTGAGCAAGCAGTGCCTGTGCGCTGTTGTTCAGGGAGAGAATATGCATAGAGCATGGCTTTGTGCAGATGAGATACGGCCACTGCACAGCCCTCAACTTCCCATGTGCGGTGAAACCACACTAGTTCTGCCTGGGAAGCCTCCACAGCCCCAGAGGAGAAGGCTAGATGTGTTCTAGTGTGAGAGAAGATGGTCTTGTGATTAAGATGTTCAGTTGGAACTCAGAAGATATGGCTTCTGTTTCTGTCTTCTCCAGTGTGAAGACTCATAGGCAATCCCCACCCCCAACTATGGGCCTAATAATACTTCCCTACCGCACAGGTGTTGTGAGGATAAACCTGTAATCGCTTTGGAGACATTTTGCTACTACAGTGATAAGCACCATTGAAAAGCCTATTAAAAATATGGACACAGTTCCTCTTCACCTTGAACAAAGGTGGCAAAATAACTACAAGCATCACAGAGACCATTCTGCCCTCCAAATTCAAGATAAAGCACACAATTCTAGCCCCCACTTAGCCAGAAGCTGCTGTTTGCCTGTTCGTCTTGGTTTGTCCTGCTTTGTAACCACCCTTTCCCAGCTGAGGTCAACCTCCGGGTCTCTTGATCCATATTTCACACTCACTCTTCAGACAGGTGGCTAGATGTCCATCCAAGAACCACATCTAGCTGTCAAGGATTCTGCATCCAGACAAAGAAAGCATCTATACCAACCCACTACCTTTGAAAATAACCACTGCCTTTAACACATTAAACGCTACCTTTAACACATACAAACAGCCTAACCCTGTAAATATCCTTCTAATGGTTGGACTGGGTCCAGCTGCAGTAACTAATCCATTCAGATCCTATGACAGATTGTTGCTGGTATAATTTATCAGCTTCATTTTTCCTAACACCCTAATTCCAATAAATTTATTATACTATAGCCAACTGCACTGGCAGCTCTACTCAATCCAGAAAGTCAGGCTCCTTGTGTCTCCATGCACCAGTGGCATTTACAGCTCAGTAATCAATTAAGTTGTCTGTAGAAGTTACTAAGGCTGAATCCGGCTTCAGACCAGTGTATGTCTGCCTCTTACCAGCCTGCAGTCTCATGCACAGTCACAGAACATTTTGATTCTCTTAGCATTGTTGTTGGTGGCTGGTAGAGCCAGCAAGTTCTTGTTGACTAGCTCCGGTGGGAGTGTAAGCATGACTTGCGGGACAAAAAGGAGTTGTCCTTGTCTACCAGAAGAATACCAGAGCCTTTGTTTTTAGTGCGCATGTTGAGTCTGATTCACTACTGCCCTTTACCTCAGGGCAAAACGGGCCTAAAAGTTACCATTCTGATTTGCAAGTATTTTGCATTCGCTTTGCATTGTTATAACTGGCTACACAAGGTGCAGGGCAACAGTAAATCAGGTCATTAGGGTTCGATCGTATGTTCCTTCCAAGGCCAAAACTCCCACTGAAATTTGTAGGAGTTGGATGCTCAAGAAATCAGGATGGATTGTTTTAAATCAAAGCAATTTAAATTGCTGATTTTTTTAATCATAATTTAAATCGGCAAGCAGGAAACCTTGGTTTAACTCATTTTAATGGTTTTGCATTTGTACTTTTCAGATATTTTCCCAAAAAAAGGTTGATTCTCATTGGTTGGTAACCACTAAAACATGTTAATTGGCAACTAAATATAGCCTTTACACTAAATTTGGTGCTGGTTTTGCTAACCCGGAGGATACATGATAGCTATGCATATTCATTTATACAATTATATAGCTTAACTTACATTTATTCAGATTCTTAATTTTTACATTGCTTATTATGTTAAAAGATAGCGAACGACACATTTCTTAATTACTAGATGGTTAATTTTTTTTTACTCATGATTTGTGTCACATTGCATTTGGATAGAAATTGGAATTCAATTACAAATGCACAAAAGCAAGCATTTTCAAATTCATTTATTAGTTAAATAAAAGTACCTTAAGTGTGCTGATGAATACATAAGAGAAAAAGTCAGTTTACCAAAATATGGTTTGCATTGAAAACTAACAGATTTATTAAACAAAGGAAGTATTATCTGTAGAGAGTGAATTTAACTGATTTTTTTTCTGGTCACCATGTCCTTCCAGATTTTAGAAGTAGTACATCTCATTCTTTCACACCTCATTTTTATTTCATATATTGGAGGAAGAAAATAAGCTTTCCTGCTTTTCTAACTCCCAACTGGTTTCTTAACTTTGAATGAACTAATCATTGAACTGAATTAGTTGAATAAATGAAATGAAGAAAATAATCTCTCTCTGCACTTACAGAAGAGACTACTCATGTCAAAAGCTGTCTCAGCACTTCAGTAAACTCTGGTTCCAGGTGCCTAGCCAGTGACTTCTACCAGTTTAGTGGTTTGACTTTCTTTAAAACTTGGCAGCAAATATGTACTTCATATTATTTTCTGTATTTCATTTAAATGATTTTAATAAGTTTAAGCCTTAACCTAAGTTTCAGTTTCCAATTTAATTATAAATAGGGTTATTTAAAAAAACACCACCACCATGTATTTAAAAAATCCAATTTTTTATTTAAAAGAAAATAATCCAATTTTATTCACTGCAAGAAATAAAGGATCAGGTCCTTAAATGTAATTTTTTTCTCATATTTGCTTTCTTCTTTAAGCAGTTCTCATTTTGGAATGTGCTTTTTAATTAAATAAGTACTACTGGGAATTGTGTGATTATGGAGACTATAATTTCTCAGATATAGTTTGGAGGACAAGTGTTACTAATAATAGTAAGGCCCTGATTTTCCTGGATGTGATAGCTGACAGATTTCTTCACCAAACTGCCGTTTTAGATTTGGTACTGGTGAGTGATGAGGACCTTGTTGAAGAACTGGTTGTAGAGGACAAGCTGGGTTCAAGTGATCATGCACTAAGTCAGTTTAAACTAAATAGAAGGATAAACAAAAATAGGTCTGCTAGGATCCTTGATTTCAAAAGGGCTAACTTTAAAAAATTAAGGGAATTAGTTAGGGAAGGGGACTGGACTGAAGAGTTCAAGGATCTGAATGTGGAGGAGGCTTGGAATTACTTTAAGTCAAAGTTTCAGAAACTATCTAAAGCCTCCATCACAAGCAAGGGGAAAAAATTCATAGGGAAGGGTTGCAGAACAAGCTGGATGAGCAAGCATCTCAAACAGGTGATTAAGAGAAAGCATACAAGGAATGGAAGATGGGGTGGATCAGCAAGGAAGGCTACCTCTTGGAGGTCAAAGTGTAGAGATTAAAGTGAGAACTGCCAAAGCCAAGCACAGTTGGACCTCGCAAAGGGAATTAAAACCAATAGTGAAAGGTTCTAGAATCATGTAAATAAGAAGAAAACAAGGAAAGAAGAGGCACTCAGGATGGGGTGGAGATTAAAGATAATCTAGGCATAGCACAACATCTAAATAAATACTTTGCCTCAGTTTTTAATGAGGCTAATGAAGAGTTTAGGGGTAGTGGCAGGGTGACTGATGGCAATGAGGATATGGAGGTAGAAATTACCGCATCCAAGGTGGAAGTCAAACTCCGATAGTTTAATGGGACTAAATTGGGGGCCCTGGATAATCTCCATCCAAAAATATTAAAGGAACTGGCACATGAAATTGCAAATCTATTTGCAAGGATGTTTAATGAGTCAGTAAACTCGGGGGTTGTACCCTATGACTAGAGAATTGCTAATATAGTTCCTATTTTTAAGAAAGGGGGGGGAGTGTTCTGGGAAACTACGGGCCTTTTAGTTTGACATCCGTTGTGTGCAAGGTCTTGGAACAAATTTTGAAAGAGAAAGTAGTTAAGGACATAGAGAGGTTAACGGGAACTGGGATAAAATACAACATGGTTTTACAAAAGGTAGATCGTGCCAGACCAACCTGATCTCCTTCTTTGAAGATAACAGATTTTATTTTTTTTTTAGACAAAGGATATTCAGTAGATGCGTTCTACCTGGATTTCAGTAAGGCATTTGATACAGTGCCACATGGGAAATTATTAGGTAAATTGGAGAAGATGAGGACTAATAGGAGAATTGAAAGGTGCATAAGGAACTGGTAAAAAGGGAGACTACAATGGGTCATACTGAAAGATGAACTGTCAGGCTGGAGGGAGGTTACTAGTGGAGTTCCTCAGGGATCAGTCTTGGGACCTGCGTGGGTGTGTGGCCGTGCAGCTGCCTGT